GTAAGTTTCTTGCACTAGATAGTGAGTGGTGTGAACCCACGTCTGCTCCTCTTCTTGATCTTGTGTCCAATGGGCTGCATCTCAATCTCCACTTTCTTCACATTGAAATGAAGTCGATTTGATTTTTCGTGTGGTGTGTCTATCTGGTGAAATCAAATGCATGTTTCTTTGCGAATTTCCTTGTGTTTGAACACACTGCCTCACCTCCGGTCACCGTAACGTTGAATGCACAGAATTCTGCAAACAATTCTCCATTCTCGTTCATCACCTCACCGAGCGCTTCTCGACTCATGGTTAGTTCTCTTCCTGTGTTGTCCGCTCGCAGTTTGGTATTCATGTCGCCCAGTCAACTGAGATCTTGTCCAGTGTTGATTGCAGTTATCTGTAGAATTCCACCTTCTTCTCTTCATCTGCATTATTTGTAGGTGTGTAGCGTAGCATTGTGCGATTGTGACTTTCCTTCCTTTCCAGTTGAACCTTGCTGTCATGATCCTGGAGGAGATTGGTTCCCAGTATAGAATTTTCAGCATGGAATATTTCAACAAATCCACTTTCCGTACAATGTTTTTAAAAGAAATAAGTTTTATATTTGCATAGTGTTAATAACAAAAGTATTGAAGGGATAAGAGTGAAACGGGCATCTAGTGTTATATAAGCATCTGTTCTCGATTCGGATATCAACACGAAGTTGAGTGCAATTTTGATGATGACAGTTCAGTGAACCAGCACAGAAATTCAAAATCTCATACAAGTATCCTAAGAATAGTAATGATGTATATTTTTGAGCATTTACAAATTCATTTTCAATGCATTAAACGTTTTTTTTCTTTGTTTTGTTCTTAGCACGAGATACGAAAGTTCGAAAACATTTTAAAAACGTGCAAGGCTACATGATACGTTCAAAAGATATTTGAAAGATTAAAACAAACTAAGAGAGAAGAAATTGATAGAATATAATCGGCGGGAAATTTTTTTTTTGGCAGTTCAAGATTTAAACAGGCTGTCATAAAAAGTGATTTATTAGACGTATCACACAGTGGAAGAGTATAAATTATTGGATTACTTTATAAGATATAATTTATTGTTCATAGTCGTATCCTCCTTATATGACTATGGATAAAAAATCTTGCCCGAAACGTTATCTAATAAGTGATTATGCTGTTCCACCGTGTGATATTTCTAATAAACGAACTTAAATGGAATTACAATCTACTAGAGTGCCCAAATTTTACTCCTATTTTAATATTCTTCGTTCAAATCGCTTCCTTATAAATATAATGGGAATTTTTAGATGTTTGAAAACACAAGATATGATTGAGTTCACAATGATCGAAAACTTATAAGTTGATGACTGTTCAATATTAGAGCTTAATAGACTTCCCTGGAAGGGAAGCTGTTTTGTCACTATTCTAGATTATTCGTACAGTGAGAAAACACTGAAATGCATAACTGTTAACGACTCTAGCACAGTTGTTCAAATAAGGGATACAGAAATATTATAATCCTTTGTAACATCAAACAATAATACAAAGGAGCAGAACCTTAGTGAAATAAAATGGCTTGGACATGTACTGCGTATGCCATGCGACCACCCATCTCTATGTACTATGCTACAGGAAGTTGAATTAGGCTGAAGGAGAGTTCAGCATGGCCAGATCAAGACATAGTAACAGTCGAAGATATCTCTTACTGTTGGTCTGAGCAGTGTGGAGAGATTTAGACTTACTGGTTAGGGTAGCAAAAATGATAAGAATCAGTGATTAAGGACTGACTTTTGATGAAATAGCTGAAAATCAATCACAACCGTGAAGATGTGTTCACTCCTTGACGTCCTCCAAAGCTTCATTACTTGCATCAACCATTATCTTAAAATTATTTATTCCCTTACATATTTCAAGTTGTTGTACATCATAGACTGACATCAGTTGGAGGGACAAAGGAAACCTGGGAGTACCGGATAGCTGTTTCGTCCTAGTATGGGACTCCTCAGCAGTGCTCAACCACGACCCCGCGACCTTCAGGTTCCGTGGCCGACACGTTACCACTGAGCTAGTCACTGGGTGAGGACCCAATGGTCCATTTTTCCCAACTTCTGTTAGCTCACGATATGCAGCAACCACCACCCAATGTCATCGCTGAGTAACTGTCCTCACGACCATCAGGCTTTGCCCCCACCGGTCACGACTTCTCATTAGAACTTTGGGAATGTCTCTCGAAGCTAGTCACCAGTGAGCACCATTTTTTACATGTCTTTTTCTATACTGTTGTTCTTTGTATACTACTATTAAGTGTGGCAACTGGAATCAGTCCACTTGTGTGAAGGTTCCGCGTTGGTTTTGTCTGTCTGAATAGCAATTACAAAATTATTTATTTTATTATCACATCTAATTAGATATTATCGTTTCCGATATATCTATTTAAGAAAAGGGAATTATTTGAAAATCAGTGTATAAATTGCTTTGTCCAGTGTTTTGTACGTTGTACTCAGTTCCTCTTCTCGTTTTGCATCCTTGCACTGGTTTATCCTCTGCTTCACCATCCTCCTCTCACTTCTCAATCAGCTTCCATGTGTCCGTCGAGATCTATTCCTTGTCTTGTTGCTTCTTTTTCCTTCCTTACTAATACGGTTATGCAGGTTTCTTTCCACATCTCTATCAAAGACTCCCAGTGTTCATCCACACAGGTTTCTTCAGGGATGTTGCTCAATGTCTCCCATTTTCTCTTGATGACTGACGTGAAGTTGTCCTCTGTAGCTTTGTCGTTCAGTTTCTGGGTGTTGGATTTGAACTGTGGTCTACCACCAACTTCTGTGAATGTTTTCACCTTGATTTTGAAGGTAAGTTTCTTGCACTAGATAGTGAGTGGTGTGAACCCACGTCTGCTCCTCTTCTTGATCTTGTGTCCAATGGGCTGCATCTCAATCTCCACTTTCTTCACATTGAAATGAAGTCGATTTGATTTTTCGTGTGGTGTGTCTATCTGGTGAAATCAAATGCATGTTTCTTTGCGAATTTCCTTGTGTTTGAACACACTGCCTCACCTCCGGTCACCGTAACGTTGAATGCACAGAATTCTGCAAACAGTTCTTCATTCTCGTTCATTTCACCGAGTGCTTCTCAACCCATGATGAATTCTGTCTCTCCTGGAGATTGGTTTCTAGGATATGAGAGCGTCCGATGCTCTTGAAAGGGACATCATGGTAGTTACTCCAAAACTCAGTTTGCTTGTAGTTGTCATCTGGGTGACAGTGTTGGAGTAGATTGACTCTTCTCCAGTTGACAGTTTGGAGAGTTCACTTCCATTCCATCTGCTTTCGCAGATTCCCAGCACTTCTATGCGGTACGTTCTCATTTCTTTTGCTATCTGGGCAGCCTTGCTAGGTTCGTACATGATGCGGACACTTCATGTCCCCATTCTTGCTTTCGCTTTCATCGAGAGAAGGCATATCGGCCAGTTGGCTTCCCAAAGGCTTTATCAACTGCCGTCATTTCGTCTCTTCGATTCCAGAGAGGAATGAGTTTAATTTTATTTTTTATAATTTTTTTGTGGTTTGAAGTTTGTTTAGCGGTTGGATTGGTTTTCCGGGGTAGGGTTGCTGGCCCTATGCCCAACCATCCCTCTTTATCCGGGCTTAGGAACGACCAGTAACTAGTGAACTAGTTAATCAGGCAAAATTAAGAAGGATAGTAGTTATTACTGTTTTTTGATGCATACTTGTAATTCTCCGTTGTTTTATTGGATCGAATTGTTCGATCTGTATTGGCATGTGTGCTGGTCTACAGATGCCTCGATCTCGCCTGAATGTTAATTATGGTAATTTGGTTGGTTGTGGCTAGCAGAAGAATCCAGGATGAGCATTTCATCTTATTTGGGACTGGTCAGCTGGATGTACCTGCACCGAGGTCGAACAATTCGATCCAATAAAACAATGGAGAACTGCAAGTATATCAGTAAACAGTAAAAACTAGCTGTTCTCAACTGTCATGCATGTTTTAATTACAAATATCTTTTTGAATCAAAAGAAGAAAGATAATTTCTTATTTTTTTCTTGCATCCAGTAATTCGAAGTCATTCATTGATTGATCACTGGAGAGTGACCCAGATGATATTGTCTATTCTTATGCGCTGATGGAATTCTATCGATCGCTGCGTTATGGCCATCAGACTAAGAGTCTTACCATCGCAATGCATTTGGATAGGTGTTAGTTGAATGGAGGCAATCACCATGAATCCCTGGATGAAGGTTTCGTCCTTATTGGCACTCGTCAGCAAGGCGTATCTACAATCCCAACAGAACTGATGTCCTTTTTGAGGTTCAACTCCGCGTCATCAAGTATTTTGTAGTCAACAACGTTACCGCTGAGTTGTAGGACTGAATTACATACACTGATTGATCATTGGAGAGCAACTGATTTCATGTTACCTAGTCATATATGCTAATCGAATTCTGTGGAGATTGCAGATATGCCTTGCTGATGAGTGCCAAAAAAGTGCAAAATCTAGATCAATCTGTGCTTCACATCAATTACCTTTATCCAACTAAGTCAAAATTAGTTGTTGACAATTATTTCTTCTTAGTGATCTGAGAATGTTTAATTCATTCATTCAAGTGAAATAATTAATTATGATAAATTGGTTGGTTGTGGTTAGCAGGAGAATTCAGAACGCGCGCTTCGTCCTATTTAGGACTCATCAGCTGGATGTACCTGCATCCCAGTGATGTTGTTCCCACTGGAACTCGAACCTCGTACCCATCGCTTCAAACGCCAAGGCGTTATCCACTATGCCAAGGAGGAACGTTAGCCACTTCTTGTACTATTTATTGATCCAACAAAACAGCGGAGAATAACAAGTATGTCAATAAATTGAAGTAATCAAGTTCTTCTTTTATTTCGTTTTCTGTCTAATACTATCCTCATTACTATGTTCATTGTTGATTATTTCTTCTTCTTTTCTCTCCTTTTTGTTTATTTGTTTCAATCGACAACACTAAATAAAAGAATCAACTAAGAAGAGTGATTGATGCAATGAAGGAAACACCTGTAACCAAAGGTCAAGTCATTATACATCAAGGTGATGATGGTGACTATTTTTACATAATCGAAAGGTAAGTATGAAATGTTCAATTAAAAAGGAAGAAGAAAAAGGAGTCAACAATTAAAGGAAAGTACTTTTTGCTTTGAATAGAATTGAAAGAGAGATGTATAACTGTATGCTTTGTGCATTCGAATATGTTATGTTGAATAATTTTATTATTTTGTGCCATTTTCATCTAATTTGAAGTGTTTTAAATCAACAAAACCATTAATTTACTGATACGTCTTGATATTCAGTAATGAAAAACCTATATGGATTGATGAACAAACAGAATAACTGATTATTTGGTTGGTTGTGGCTGGCAAGAGAATTCAGGACTCGCATAGCACGGAACGCGCGTCCCGCATTCTCCTGCTAGCCACAACCAACCAAATTATCATCATTAACATTCAGGCAATATCGAGGTACCTGCATACCAGCCCATATGCCAATAGAGTTGGAACAATTCGATCCAACAAAACAACGGAGAATGACAAGTATGTCAATAAATAGTAATAACTACTACCCATTGTACAAGAAGTGGCTATCGTTCCTCCGTGGCATAGTGGATAACGCCTTGGCATTTGAAGCGATGGCTACGAGGTTCGAGTTCCAGTGGGAACAACACTGGGATGCAGGTACATCCAGCTGACGAGTCCTAAATAAGACGAAAGGCGCGTTCTGAATTTTCCTGCTAACCACAACCAACCAAATTATCAGAAATAAAGTAAGCTATGACCTTTCATAAAGGTGAGAAACTTTAAGCTTCAATCATTTGCAATAGTTTACTTAAAAGGACAAGCAGGATATATGAAGGTGAAGGAAATAATACCAAGATTTCACGATGATAAAAAAAAGCTATACCAACAACATTTCAAGGTTGTCAATTATCCAGGGCTACACTAACCTGTATAGGTAAGAACAACAGATAGCAAATTATCGGATTGATTTAAGTATTCGTTTGGTTTCTCTTAGCCTTCTGATCTAATTCTAATTTTAGTAATGATGAATAGTGGCTAACAGTGGAATCCAAAATGCTCATTTCGTTCTACTTGAGACTCGTCAGCTGGATGTACCTGCAAGCTAATGAGTGATGTTGTTCCCATCGAAATTGGAACTCGTGATCGATCGTTTCAAATGCCACCGAGCCACCAATACGAGCAATAATACTAAAACTATACTCGTCGCACAACAAGTGGCTATTGTGGCTCGGTGGTCTAGTGGATAACGCTCTGGCGTTTGAAGTGATCGCTCCTGAGTCCGAATCTCAGTGAAGACAACATCACTCACTGGGAGGCAGATACATCCAGCTGGCGAGTCCCAAACAGGACGAGATGCGCATCCTAGATTCCACTGCTAGCCACTATCCATCATTACTAGAATTAAAACACAGGCAATATCGAGGCATCCACTCAGGAGCCCATGTCCCAGTAGAGACCGATCGATTTGGTTCAATCAACGATGGTCTAATACAAGTAATAATACTAACTCTAATTTGATTAAAATCTCTCTTTGATTCAGATGGTGGCTTAGCTCACACAACACACTTTCAATTCACATTAAATAGCAAAGACTTACAACCAGACTGACTTATTCAACCTCCTAATCTAGTGTCAGTAGTGGTCTCACATGGACGATGCTATGAAAAGGATGACAGTGAGATATCTGAAGTTTTCACAAGTCTTACGGGTTGTTTGAGCATGTTGCAAAGTAGTAAAATATAGGAGATTGCAGTACTGTACAGTAAACTTATTCCATATTTGACATTCAAATGTCACCGACATTGCGAATGGTATTGAAGCCATAACTGACGGATAAATGGGATGTTTCAGAAAAATAATGAGGATCATAAGGGGAATTAGAACTGAAAAATTGTTTCTACCTTACTATTAGCATATTTGTGTTGTAGCTGTTTCTAAAACCATATGAGTTTTACTTGTCTAGTTGCCTTAATTTATGACCAAGCAACTAAAATTCGGTTTTTTCAGGTAAAATAATTTTGCTGCCTTAGATGAGACTCCTCTACGCTTCATGTGTAGATACACTTTTGAAAGGTTGCGAAAATTGATTAATTTGTGTAGTTGTGTACTCGCCATCTAAATGCGAATTATTGCTGCAGGACTTGGCTTTCAACGGTACCGTGGTTAACAATAGAAAGTAAAGTGGTTGAACGCGTTGACCACTTCACTTACCTAGGAATTCGAATCAGGCCTGGTGCGTTGGTCAGTGCCTGACGAAATCTCTGCATGGATACAAAAGACTCGATTAGCTCTTGCCAACTTACACCATCTTTGGCACCGCTGCGGTATCTTTTTGTCTGTTAAGGGTCGAGCTTACTGTGCTGCAGTCTACTCTTTTCTACTGCATGGCTGTGAAATATAACTATTAAACGTAGGCTTCAGATATTTGACCACCGTTACCTTCGTAGTATAGGCCGTGTTTTGTGGTATCACTTCGTGAGTAATGCAGAAGTCAGACGTAGGATTTTAGGCAGGAGAAATAAGACAAGGGTAAGATGGCTGGGATATGTTTTATATATGCCTAACCACCACCTGCCTCGTCACACAATGAATCTAGCTCCAATCAATGAAGTGATATAATCAATTAACAGATGACTTACATTATAAGTGGTCCATGTTGACATTTCTCATAATTGAGTAGTTTTTTAACTGCTGAACTTTGATGTCAACAAGGCTGCTGCTCTGGGAAATACCAGTGTAGATCATGTAACTTGTAAATCATTCACTAATTGATCATCCTATTTTAGGTATACTGATCCATACAAGTCAGCTAGACAGAATCAGGCGATTTAGACTAATCCGGGTACATGACTGATGAGCTTGACTTGAAACGAGACAAACGGACGATCTGACAGATGAAATACTACAAATCAAACTCAGTGGTTTTTAACTACTCAAGTTTTTTTGTAGTAGTATCTTTCAATCGAAAAAGAACTAGTTATTGAGTTTTAATATTGTAGTCCAGCTAACTATAGTTTGAATACTCTTTTGATATATCTGGCAGGGGAGAAAAATAAACCTTGCTCTCATATCTTTTTTTAATACCTGCCAACTAAAAGTATCTTAAACTCTGAAGAAATTCATGTTTTATCACAAGGTACCATATCCAGATATGCTTCCTATTCAAATTAAGTCATTATCAAGAATAGATTAAGCATAGGAATTAAGTCATAGTGAGTAACTGTTGTTATATTTTATGATACTCAGTAATGAGTTATTGTTATCGATTAATGTTACATTGCAGTGTCACATCTTTGTACAGATTATTTACTTCTTAAAAAACCAAGGAAAGATTTTGTTTGTCTTATATCAAAGTGTACAGTAATTCTGGAATTTGTCATTGATTACCTATAACCACCCATCAGTTAATCAAGTTAACCATAGTGCCGAACCTTTAGGTTAAATATCCTTCTGTTAGTAGTTTTAGTGACCAACTTCATTAATTTGTGTTCTACTATCTGAATTCAGTCAGCTCTGTTGTAGTAAACTATAGAAAAATATGACTTATTATTACCAATTAGTCAAGTAATGACTACTAAGGGCCTGTATTTAGTTCACATTTTGTAAATCTTCATTTTTTCCTTATTTTGGTTAGTTATACTTACCTTCCAAAGTTTGAATCCTTCAGATAAATGAATGTATGTACAACTATCAAAAAAATGGTCGCTAATTGGCGGTTGTTGCATTTATGAGTTAGTCTAGATGAAAGCTTCAGTAAAGCCTAATATCTATTTATACTGTCTAGATTCTTAGTGGTGCAATTGATTTACAAATGATTAGACTTAAGAAACTCATGGTATTATCTTTGAACAATGATACATACCGTTTTATTCAAATTCGCTGTTAAAACTGTTCATTCATCATAAACTAATGTAATTTGGAGAATCATTAAAAAATGAATTCATTGACCAAATGGTTAATGCATTCGCTGTGAATTTTGAAAGTTTTGAGTTCAATCCCTAGCCAGTCCAATGGGATGTACAACTGAGAAGTCCTTCACTCGGAAGAAACATCTATCCAGTGTTCTATGGTTTTCAATGCTTATATAACTGACATTAGTCTGTGATGAATATCACCTCAAAATTAAAATCCCCATCAACTTCAAATACAGAGGCATCTGAATATTAATGTATTTGAAGAGAACTCAATTTAGATCTTATTTTATTTTATTTTATTCTTGTAATTAGAATACAAGTGATTTACTGATAAAACATATTACTTAGAAATAAAATTTTGAATGAATAGAATACACAGGATCTTTCGTCTTAGTTTATAGTCTGTAAAATCATTTTCTTTACGGATTGAACCTTACTTTTGTCTATTAGCATTAATATTTCAAATAGTTAGCTTGTCATTTTATTTGCTTCGTGATACTTCCATTACCTTACTCAATACCTGCATTTTATATGAACCAAGCTTACTTGTCATTGCGATTGCCTATTTATAGCTTATGTGTCAAGAAAGTTAAATGTTGAGTGATTGAAAATAGATGATCTGCAGTCATTCTTATTAAAATGTTACATATACACTCACAGGAATTCTTTCTAGTGACACTGCCCATGATCTCACTGTAGATACTGGAATGCTTAGTGTATAACTCTAAGTTTGATTATGTTTCAAGATATTACTAGTTACTTGGCTACATTGATTTTGTATACACCTATCTAGGCAGCATCGTTTCAACTACAGGCGGCACAAGCACAGATAACGATTTCAAAACCAGGATCGAAAAAGACAGCAAAATAGGCGTTCATTAACCTTAAATCAAAGTGGAGATCGACTGCACTCAGCACAAAGCGTGAACAACATCCGAATTTTCAACACCAATTCAGTCAAGTCAGTGTTACTAGGTGATGGTTGACAAACCTGGCATGTAACAGCATTTCCAACAAACTACAGACATTCATCAATAGATGCCACCTACACTCACTCGATACTGAAAGTTGGTGAGATGACGAGAATAATGAGAATAAGCAAGAAGGAACTCTGGCTGGCTGGCTGGCTGGCAACGAACCAAGCAAGAACCCATCAACCAACAAATATGCAGAATGAGGAGGTGGAGATGGATTGGATTGGACATACACTGAGAAGGCCGATGGGGAACTTCACGCGCCGGACCAGGTCGTCGAGTGAAACCCAGACGGGAAACGACAAGTTGGGTGTGTGAGGTGAGGGTGACATGGAGGAGATGGTGTGAGGGAGAAATGAAAGCTTGTGGGCAGTCGTGGAGTGAGGTTGAAAAGACTGGAGAGAAGAGAGTGGAATGGAGACGTGCTACTGAAGTCTTATGTTCCACTAGGAACCCTAGGGGAAAAAGATAATAAATTTCTCATTCATATCATTTCTTTCTACCAATTTCTATCAGACAACTCTCTATCATCTTGTTACTTACACAGATTTTGAAAGTTCTTTCAAACAGAATTTTGGAAAATTGGATGGATAGTCATAAAGTACAGTTGAGCTAAGTGAAAATTAAGCGCCTAGTTATCAGTACAACTTACCATTTCGCATTTAGCATAAATCTGGTAGTTTATCTTTAGGAGACAAAGTCAATGAGTTTGCAGTCTCAATCTTCAGTGAAATGAACCTTCATGAAGTAAATAATTAATCACATATGAATTCGTAGTTGTTAGTGTTGAATAAGATATAAAGATGAAATTATTGAATGAAAGTAGTCAATTTGTTGTCTAAAATGAACATTTCATTATGTTTGTCTGAAATATTTATGGAGTTGCGCTGTGAAGTTCTCTTTTCAGTAACGAGAGTGTAAATATGGCTTGACATTGACCATTTGCCATCTCACTTCATAGTGTCAAGAATATGATAAGATTATTATGATGACATAATGTTAGACTTCATTGTAAAAATTATCCTCGAGTTATACTTGGTTACATCTAGTATTGGACTTCTCAGCAGTGTGCACCCACGACTGCCAAAGGGTGAAGACAGGGGAAGAGGATGAAAATTGAATTTATCTTTGAAACAATGAATCCCTTTAATAAATTTCGATAACGCTATTAGAAGATGAAGATTATCTGAACAACATGTGATGGTCATGAGGACAGTTACTCAACAATAACATTGGGTGGCGGTTGCGCTATATCATGAGCTAACAGAAGTTGGATTCTGACCCAGTGTCTCAATGGTAACGTACTGGCCATGGAACGTGAAGGTCGCGAGCTCGATCGCTGGCGGGGTCGTGAGTGAGCACTGCTGAGGAGTCACATACTAGGATGGGACAGCTGTCCAGTGCTCCCAGGTTTCCTTTGTTCCTCCAAGTGGTGTCAGTCTACGATGAATAACAACTTGAAATATTTCTAAATCCTCAAAACTTATGAAGTTTCATATTCTATAAAATTATGGTTACTTTATAAAAATAAAATGTAGTGTAAAAATTTAATTATTGATTAGTTTATGTAGTGAATGCATTGGGGGTTTTCCGCATATTTTTATATAAATGTACATTTCGATATTATGCACATGTTGTTCACATTTCAAAATCTAAAATAAGAAATGAAGATCACGGTATTTTTCAACAATTATCCAAGTTTATTAATTTTCGCTGTTTGCTGATATGCTTTGTAATACTTCATTGTTTTACTGAATCAAATTGTTCGACCTCCGTTGTCATATAACCTTCTATACGGATGCCCCGATATTGCTTTAATATTTACTAATGTAATTTACTTGCTTGTGGCTAGCAGAAGAATCCAGGACATGCGTTTCATCAGTCAAACAATTCGATCCAGTAAAACAACGTAAATTACAAGCACATCAGTAAATAGTAATAATTAATACTCGTTGTACAAGAGGTGGCTATTATACCTCAGTGGTGTTTAAAGTGATGGGTATGAGGTTCAAGTTTCAGGGAGAACATAAATACTCACTGTAGTGCATGTATATCCAGCTGATGAGTCCGAAATTGGATGAAACGCACATCTTAAATTCCTTTGCTAGCCTCAACCAAGTAAACTTATCACTTTTGTTCATCTGTTCCTCAAGTGACTTTATTATCTTTGATAAGTCTTACATATTTTATAGATCACATAAGATCTCATAGTTCTTGCTTCAAAATTAAGGCTGGGAATTCGGTATTGTTTGAGAGGACTCAATGAAAATATGTTTGCTTACAGACTCCATTTTAAACGATATCACTCTTTAACTATTATCAAATTTTAGAGTTGATGCTTTTTTAATAGCATTACTACTAGAGCAATCTAAAGCCTTTGTCAAACTTCGGTTGACGATTTGTTATAATTGTAAAGCGAAATAAACAAACAAATACTTAAGATTTCCTTAGTAAATAATATACATTTCAACCATGAAACAATAAGGATCACTTTTTATTGTTTCCTGAACAGAAAATCTTGTAGTGAATATCAGGTAGAAGTAGAATTTTACAGGGAAGTATGTATTATGCCTATCACCTTATTGTATTCTATACTGTTCAAAGAAGCAACCAATTGGAGCGTAAAAACTTCAGTCATTAATACACAACAGACGTTCAAAATATGCAACATTACTCTAAATTGATATATATATATATATATATATATATATATATATATATATATATATATATATCCCCTATAACATCATCTTTTATACTGACATATATATTGAGAATCCTTTAGACAATGCAAAACACTCAATATGTGATGCTTCTTGTTTGTAAACTTGTGACTGACAACAGGATAATCGAATTTACAATCTAACATAAATTTATTATTTCATATCTCACTGAAAGGTGAACATTACGATGAAACAATTTTTACCGAGTTCGAGGCAGCTATCTTCCTTCAATTGATTGTCTGATGTACGTATATTGAATAAATTCAACTTCAACTTCAAAAGAGAAGCATTCGACTATGAAGTTTAGCGAGAGGATTCAACAATTATCCTTTAATTAACCTTCACGAAGGATATAAGAGTTTAATTCAATATTTTCATATTTATACTTCTGATAAACTATTCGTTTTTGTGTAAAATAGCCCAAATTATTATTTCTGATCAAACTCCTTCATATTGGATCGTGGCTAGCAGTGGAATCCAGGATGCATATTTCTCCCTATTTGGGACTCGTCAGCTGGATATACTTGCCTCCCAGTGAGTGATGTTCTTCCCACCGGGACTCGGACTCAGGAGCGATCGCTTTAAATGCAAGAGCAATTAGAAATCGGAATTTTTGTAGTGTTTACTGATAGTATGCTGATGACATCTATGAAATTTTAGCCTGAAACCCGTTAAATAAGAAATTATATGTTGTACATTTATCAAGAAATTAATGTAAATATGCTTTGCACAAAAAATAATTCAAAATATTACATTTTCTTATTGATAATAAACTTGATTTTTTTTTTCATTTAGTGGAAATTATGATATCCTTATAAATGATGAAGTGATCGGGAGTTATGCTGGATCTGGATCATTTGGAGAGTTAGCACTTATGTACAATACACCTCGAGCAGCTACAATTATTGCAAAAACAGATGGTGTACTATGGTCTGTGGATCGAGCAACATTTCAACACATAGTACTTAGACAAGCTTTCCTTAAACGACAACTTTATGAAACCTGGTTATCTTCTGTTCCACTTTTAAGAAGTTTAAGTGTATATGAACGTGGAAATTTAGCTGATGCCTTAGGAAGTCATACTTATGAAGATGGTGCATGGATTATTCAAGAAGGTGAACCAGGTGAAGAAATGTATTTCATTGAAGAAGGATGTGTAGAAATATCTGCTAAGAATTGTGTAAGAAACGCTTTTTTACATGTATCTTTATGACTATATTTCTTGATTTACATAAAATGATTGGATATATTATTCACTACATATATACCTTTCAAGTTAGAGTACAATTCATTGATTGAAATATTTTTGTTAAGTTTTATCCATTATAACCAGCTTAGTAACTTTATTGTATCAGTTACGTAATATACAATACAATAGCTTAACTGTGAAAGTGATACATAAATCATTGAATAAACTAGCTTCTATATGACTTCATTGTGGTATTGCAAAAGTTGGCATCCTAAATACCAGTATAAATAACTCAAATGTGGATAACTTAATCATGGAATGACAACAAATAGGCGAGTCAGTAAACTTCTGGAAGCACTTAACAGCTATTTTCTTCTAGTTTGACGAAAGTATAAAAAAATGGATTATTGGAACCTCTACCATTGCCTAAAGGGTTAAAAGCAAAAGTTGTTACGAAGGAACTCCTCAAAAGAGCCTGGAATTCCCTGAAGAGCCTTGAAAACCGGTCATAACATGATGAGAATATTCAAGAAAATCAACATGATCATATATGTGAGTTTCGAATTAACTAAATAGTTTCCTGGAAAAGTGCAGAATCTGTCAAGGCTATTTAAAACATATATATATATATATATATATATATATATATATATATATATATCAATCGTCACTTTTCGCAACATGTTCAGCATGTTGACAATAGATCTTTTATGGTTGTTACCTCTTCTATCTGTTTTGAAGTAATCGAGCGAGGAAATATTATAAAAGGGTTTTAATTCATCAAGACCAGACATCATTTTGAGGAATATTGGAAATCTGAAAGCATTGGACAGCTATTTCGTCCTACTCCTCAATATTGCACACCCATAACCCCATCAGGTCTACAGGCAAAAACTAACAAGTTGACAGAAGAGGCATCATCAACGGGAGAAACTTGAATGAAGTAGACTCATTCACCTATCTAGGCAGCACTGTTTTAACTACAGGCGGCGACAAAGACGAGGACGTCAAAGCCAGTCAGGATCGGAAAGCCAGCATGACAGGTGTTCATTAACCTGAAACCAGTGTGGAGATCTGCTTCACTGCACACAGCATAAAGTGTGAACAACATCCGGATATTAAACACTAATCTAGTCAAGTCAGTGTATCTATGTGATGGTTGAGAGAGTTGGCGCGTTGTGGAAAGCACTTCTAACAAACTAAAGATATTCATCAACAACTGCCTACGCTGGCTGGTTACTGAAGCTCAGATGGATAGAAAGAACAAGCAACAAGGAACTCACTCTGTCTGGGAACGAACCAACTAAGAACCTATCACTGAACAAATACGCATTGGAAGGAAGTGTAGACGGATTGGGTATGCAGTGACAATGTCGATTGTGGACATCACGCTCCAGGCAGTCGAGAGGAACTCAGATAGGAAATGACAAGTTGGGTGTGTGAGGTGAGGGTGACATGTAGGAGATGGTGTGAGGAAGAAATGAGAGCTTGTTGGGAGTGTTGGAGGCAGGTTGAAAAGATTTCAGAGAAGGTAGTACACTGGAGACGTGCTACGGAATCCCTATGTTGTACTAGGAACCCAAGGGAAAAATAATAATATAATAATAATAATAACCCCGTCAGGGCTCGAACTAAGGACCTTCGGGTTCCATGACTAGCAAGTTATCATTGACTTTATTAAATATATAAATAAAACATTTTAGAAAAAAATTTTCTGATAAATAATAATGCAATAATTGTATATAATTGCAAATTAACTTTGTTAGAAAAAATATCATGTGAGTTTATGTTAATTTGAATGAAGTTTTTTGTTATTGAAAGTTGATCAGTTGTTAAAACTAAAGTTTTCCTCTTACAAATTAACGGAATAACTAAATTGCATGAAATATTGATGAAACAGTTATAATGTCACATTTTTTTTCTCTCATATCTTCATTTATATCCTGAGATATATGAGTTTTATCAATAAGTTTAATGCTAAAATTCGGCTTGTTATAAAGCGGAAACTGAAAAATTAAAATGTGATGAACTTTTTCAATAGAGAAAAAACAAACAATGTTGGCATTATTATAATCAGATTAGTGTTATGCAATAGTCAAATGAATAGAATTTTGATATTTATAAGATTCTATCTGTCAAGATTGATACATATATGAAGGATATGAATTGACAAAGAGTATGGTAGTGAACTATTACCATTAACGAGAGAAACTTAAAAGGAAGTAGTCTCTTTCACCTACCTATCTACCTAGGCAGCATCGTTTCAACTACAAGTGGTACAAGCACAGATGAGGATGTCAAAACCAGCCAGGATCGAAAAGGACAGCAAAATAGGCTGGCTGGCAACGAACCGAGTAAGAACCCATCAGCCAACAAATATGCAGAATGAGAAGGTGGAGATGGATTGGATTGGACATACACTGAGAAGGCCGATTGGGAACTTCACACGGGAGGCCCTCGAGTAGAATGCAAAGGGGAAACGATAGGTTGGGTGTCTGAGTTGAGGGTGACATGGAGGAGATGGTGTGAGGGAGAAACGAAAGCTTGTGAGCATTGAGGGAGCGACGTTGAAACGATTACAGAGAAGAGAGTGGAATGGAGACGTGCTACTGAATCCCTATGTTCCATTAGGAACGCAAGGGACAAATAATAATAATATCGAAATTTTGCTTGTCAGTTTGTTAAGGTTAAACAGCTGAGGAAGTTAATTTAGAACGATACAATCTTATTATATAATGACCCCGAACAATTTTACACGTTATGTTGTAATATATGTATATGTATATATATATTTTTCTAATTATCCAGAAAGGAGAAGAAGTTGTACTTAAACAATTGCATAAAAACGACTATTTTGGTGGTAAGTATTATTTTGTACAACATAGTAATGTGTATTATAAGTTAATCAACTTTTTAAAACAATTACTTCCTTTTATAAACTTCGACAAAACAATAAGAAGACATAAATTGTCTGAACCGTGTAATGTATTTTTGCGCAACACACGTACGTGTCATATGCATTTATATAAAAACTCATAAAGAGAAAGGGTGAGAGTATGAAAAGAGGTCAAGTAGGCAGGTTGAATTAAAGGCTGAATATCAATGAGAATCAATAGAGGGGAAGAATAATAGTACATCGAACTTGGTTTTCAATAGATGAATTTACCAAGGAGGATTTAGTATGACAATAAATTGTTTATGAACACATAAACGTAGTTTCAACTTCCTAGTAGCTAAGGCTTCAACAAATTTTAGGATCCCTCCCCAACATGTTTTGTAAATAGGTGTAAAGGAACTAGCCACATCAATCGTGTGGCCTGTCTCGACGATATGTTTAATGATCGAAGAACTTGGACGTCTGCTATCAATATTTATGGTTTCAGGTGATTTAATTTGCTTCTGAAGCCACTTTGGAATATTTTCCGAAGCCCTTACATGCATGGATCTATTATTCCCTTCTATGTATGTGTCACCACAGGTACATTTGAGTTGGTACATACAATAAGATGTGATATTGTTGTTCACATGCTGTGGCGCTTTAGGGGAATATACGCGCTTCGTGATTTCTGCATAGTAAGTTGTTCTAACAGCAGCGTTAAGTTTCTGCTTAAGGATTGCACTACGAGAGTCACCTTTATACAGAAGGCTGATGAAGACATCCTTCTTTGGGAGAGATTGAAAGTCTAGTTTTGGCGCTCTGATAATTTTATTCTGCTTGATAAATATTGATGGACAGAATATCAGTCAGTGTTCTTCTTTCGTCTTCTAAAATATCCTCTGTGCATAGTCGTTGAATTCAACTATATAACAACTGTCAGCTGAATGTACCACTAAGCCATGATAGCCACTTGTTGTGCGACGGGTATCGTTTTAGTATTATGGTTTGTATTATACCATCGGTCCATTCAACGACATAACTGGATGACGTAGTGGATAACGCTTTGTTGTTTGAAGCGATCGGTCTCGAGTTTGAATCCCGGTGGGAACAAAATCACTTACTGGGAGGCAGGTACATCCAGCTGACGAGGTCCAAATAGGATAAAATAAGCATTCTGAATTCCACTGCTAGCCACTATCCATCATTACTATATAATTAAGAACAAAAGCAATAATACTATGGTACTTATCGCCTACAACATTTTCATAACTTAAAAATATGAAATATCTCAGTGGTTAAACTTACTACAAATTTAGAGATTACTTCTCTGTTGTTATACATCAGGTACAGTACAAATAAATGAAATAAAATTATATTTGTGAAAGTTAATTTAAACAGGAAGTAATAAAATCTATTTTCATAACCTTTTAACATGAAGTGCTTGAATTAGTTAACAAGTTCATACAGTTTAGATAATTAGATAGGATGTCGTAGTTTCTGAAGGTTATATCCAACTACTGACCTCTTAGTTTTTAATTTATAGTGACTCATTTTGTTTATTCTACAGTAAGTGAAAATAATTCACGCCTTAGAAACTAGTGAAATCGAATAAATCACTTGTGTATGTATTATAGTGATAAATGAGATCTTTATCAGTATATAAGTATCCCAAAATTATTTAAAAGTATGACACAGCATGATAGAGTTTACTACATTATAATCTTGCATAGTCATCTACTTTGAGACCAGTTGCTTGACGATTATTTCAAATGTAACAGTTCGTTAGATGGCGTACATAGCTATAAGTGAAAAGTTAACATAGTACCGGTGCTTATGACACTGTATTGCACTTTAAATTTTACTAGTCGAATATTACAGTCCTTACGCGTTCACCATCTACTTGTCCTGGTATTCGTCACTGAGCATATGTACCAATTCAAAAAGCCTATGAATATTCAAAGAATTGCAGATAGAAAGCAAAAGCAGAAACGAAGAATGTTCATCTCAATACAAGTTCTCTTCAGGCTCTACAATTATAAAAATACGATTTGTACAGCATGAAGTCAAGCCATGTTACAAGAAGACACATTTCAAAATTTCAGTGTGATTTAGGGATTGTAAAGAAATCCATCCTTCCTTTTGTTTATCATCGCTGACTGCAATACTGGATGACATGAATTCAAATCTCACAGTAGACATTAGTTCCCTCAAGGTTGTAGATACCCCTTAGTGACGAGTGTCAACAAGTGAAAAACCAAGGTCAAGCACAGTTTCCCCCTCGATTGCATCTATCCAACTAACATTTCATACAGTCTCCAGTAGAACACTATTAATTTATGTAGAGTTCAGGTTTGATCAGTTGAGCAGATGTTCAAGAGCCTGATGTGGAATGGTTTCTGGAATATGCAAGCGTACAATCAGGCAGATACGTCTCCCTGTATGAGAGCATTTACAAACTTGCTTCAAGACAAAGGACGAAGTGAAAGTGGTGAAAAGTTCAGTCCTAGCATACCTAGTAGATACTAAATACCACACAGATAGATGCCAATAAAGCTTTCTATGTCATTCATTGTAATCGAAAAATCATACCACATGTAGTTCACCAACGCCTGTTCAACACAATGGACGCTGTCGCAATGAGACTGATGAAGTCTGAACTCTGCATTCAGAAGGCACATGTTGGAGTATTACTTCTCGCCTTGCCCTCAGTAAACTAAAAATCACTCCTCCGTTTTATTCGTTATCTTTTTGTTCACTATCATCACTCACATCTGTATATGGATCATCCCAATATTCTTCAAATGAATTCAGTATTTGAATTAAAAAATATTGGTCATTCCTTGTTTGGTAAATCGTATCTTTAAGAGTAACTGGAAGGTTGTAGAGACAGTGTGACTGGGTTTTTTTTGACCTAAGTGATCCCCTCTCTCTTATCTCAACTGAAGTAATCACTTCCATGTGATGTGAATATTGCACAACTTTAAGTTCAATTTGATTCACATCCATCCATCCAACATTGGGGTATTGGTTTTTGAAAGAACTTCACCTAACATTTATCATTCTAGTTAGGAGTTGGTCAATCTGAATTTTTCTCTTAAACTAAATATACACCTTACCTAGGAACATGAAGGTTGTAACAACCGACAAATATGGTTGTTGTGCATACAGGAAGCGTGGTAATAGAAAACGTCTACAACCAATTTCTTATAAGTTCTATATCACCATGCGAACCCATCAGAATGAGATTGGATGACATATTTATGCTGTGTAAGAGTCAAGGAGAGATTGACAATTGAATGTTCACTCATTGAAACCTAAACCATTAGAGACAATGTACATGATTCACAACTGCTATTTTCATATGTAGTACAATGTGCCTACAAGTGACAAATAGATCAGTCTTCAACCGCCTTATTAGTGTACACCTGGGAATGTTTTTATTTATGATTATGTCTTCATAGGTGCCGAGTAATTAATAGCGTTCTACTGGAGACTGTATGAAATGTTAGTTGGATGGAGGCAATCGGGGGGGGGAATTGTGCTTGATCTTGGTTTTTTACTTGTTGACACTCGTCACTAAGGGGTATCTACAACCTTGAGGGAACTAATGTCTACTGTGAGATTTGAATTCATGTCATCCAGTATTGTAGTCAGCGATGATAAACAAAAAGGAAGGATGGATTTCTTTACAATCCCTAAATCACACTGAAATTTTGAAATGTGTCTTCTTGTAACATGGCTTGACTTCATGCTGTACAAATCGTATTTTGTAATTGTAGAGCCTGAAGAGAATTTCTATTGAAAAGTTTGTTGCTTCTTATCTGTATTATTATAATCTTCTTCTGTATGAAATTTTTGCTGTTTTAGATATCAGGAATATGCAAAGGTCACTTGTTAAAGAATCTATGACTATTTTATTCTCTGTTATCTCCCATAGGAATAGCTGTCAGTTGTTTAAAACGTTTTATGGAAATCTGCTAAACCTTTTGTGAGAGTAATGTTTTCATTACTTTCATGATGCTAGATTTCTTTGTGTATAACGTTATTGTGAATCAGTGAATCTAACAGATGATATGAGAATTAGTTAGTTTCAAAGGTATCTTTTTCAAGGAAATTTTAGTTACACATCACCTAATGCATACTTGCATTAAGTAAACTTCTGAATGAAATTTTCTGAGTAGTTTTTATCATATTGTTTCCGCTGCTGGGTTACCACACCTTACTGATTAGTACTGATTGTGTATATCACTCATTATTTCATTCTATCTCCTCTTACATTCGTAAATGTTTCGTTTTGTCACGGGATTTGATTACATCATTATGGTGAATACTGGATGATGATTGATGGAGAAATGATGATTTGAATTGGTGAAGGATTCAAGCTAACGATTTCCGTGTTTTTGATCCAGTACTCTACCAAATGAGCTATAAGATCTGGCTGCTGACTAGATCTTTTATTTTACTTCAACCACTTCATTATCATTTAAACACTTCTTAATATTGTTCAAAAGGTTTTTTTATTTTCTGATTGATGAAATGTATGACTTTTTACCTCTCTATTTTATACTTTAGAATTGGCGCTCATTTTACATGAACCTAGAAAAGCTTCAGCTCGTGCGATTGGTAGAACCAAATTAGCAGGTATGTCTTCGATTTGAAAATATTATTTATTTTGCGCACAATGAAGTTGTGAAGACTATTTTTCAAATATTTTAAATAAGATTCCAAAAAAAACGTGTTTCGTTCAATGCACTCATTAGTAAAATTTAGGGTTTGTTTACTTAGTTATTTGTCCATTGAACTCCTAGTAGAACATAGAGCTTCATTAGCACGTTACCGTTTCACTCCTTTCTCTGAAGTCTTTCCAGCATGGCTCCACCAATGCCCACAAGCTTTCATTTCTTCCTCACACCATCTCCTCCATGTCACCCTCGGACGCTCAACTCGCCGTTTCCTCTTTGATTTCCACTTGATGGCCTGACGCATGGTATCTCCAAACTGTCTTCTCAGTGCATATCGAATCCAATCCATCTCCATTTTCTTCTCCTGCATATTTGTTGGGTGATGGGTTCCTGGTTGGTTCGTTCGTTGCCAACCACAGTGAGTTCCTCCTTGCTTATTCTTATTATTCTGGTCATCTATCTGATCTTCACTATCGAGTGAGCGTAGGTGGCAGCTGTCCAAGTATGTCTGTAGTTTATTGGAAATCCTTCTCGTAAAGCCCCAACTCTCTCATCACATGGAAGCACTAACTTACTTGACTGACATTACTGTTGAAAATCCGGATGTTGTTCACGTTTTATGCTGAGTGCAGTGCAGTGTAGTAGATCTTCACAATGATTTCAGATTGATGAAGGAAAGCTTGTCTTGCTGTCTTTGCGATGCTGACTGCCTTTGACATCCTCATAGGTGCCTCTACCGTCTGTCGTTGAATCGATGTTGCCTAGGTAGGTAAGTAGGCAGGTGGAAGAGACATCTTTCTTTGGATTTCTCCCGTTGATGGTGATCGTTGTTGTTGTTGGTTGAGTATTTTCATCACCTCTGTCTTCTCTACGTTCACCTGAAGGATGTCCTGACTTCCTTTACTGCCTGGTCTCGCTTCACCTTGCCCCTTCCGCCAACTTGTTAGTTTTCGCCTGTAGATCTTCGAGTTTGTATGAAAAGACATTGGACATGAATCATCATCGTTGGCGAAATCCAAATCTTGTAGGGTCTTTTTATTGGTCAAATAGCGTATGCCTATCTCCTTATAACTCCTCACAGTTTGTTGCATGATCCATTCCAATGCAGTTGACCATATTCAGGAAGATTATCGGTGTTAGTAGACAGCCTTGCCTTACTCCTGTCTTCACTTCAAAGGCATCACCCCGCTTTCCATTGTTAGTCACTTCGCATGCAGCATTATTATTATCAAATAGTTGTTGAAGGTTTGTGGCCCAAAAGCCGTGGTGTTGAGGCAGCTGCCTGTCAAATTACTTGTGGGTCGACGCTGTCAAATGCATTTTGAAAATCGATGAAGTTGAGGTAGAGGTAGGTTGACTGCCATTCTATGCTCTGTTCTATGATGATGCTTAGCGTAGCGTTGCAATTCGATCCTCACATGATTTGTTTTTCCTGAAGCTAGCCGGCCTGTTCCCGTCGTACTTTTGAATCCACAGCATATTTTTGTTTAATGTCTCCAGGACGATGCAGCCTAATATTTTGCTTGGGGTGGACAGTGGTAGAGCGTGATTCCTTGCCAGTTCTTCCAAAGACTCAGGTCACCCTTCTTTGAGAGTTTGACAAGGTAGCCTTTCTTCCAGTCGGCAGGTATCTTTCATTCCTTCCTTCCTTGCAAACCTTCTGCAATAGTTGTGTGAACGTATCTGCTGATGTCTCTGCCTCTGTTTTCAGTGCTCCTGGCAAAATTCCATCTGGTCCTGTTGCAGTTGTAAAATCTTTTTCGGAGCAGTGTCCAAGCGTTCTGTGGCATTTTTCTGCCTTAGATTCTTATCTCTAAATTTCATTGGGTATCCATTTTTCATGAAGATTTCTCGCAAGTTTTTTCTTTCATCATCCTCTGTGCCATAGTCCTGAGAAGAGTGAATTGATAAGATTCCTCTTTAAGCTTAAAAGCATACAGCTTTGAAAACTAGTAAACTATCCACTTCAAGTGGGCTTTCTGTAAGTAGATTTCTGGACTGAATTGTCATCTTCTCTTTGAAGTTAGGTGTCAAGAAAGTGAACTTTCGAGTACAATTTTTTTGGTTCGAAATTACTTTTTACTGTATTTTTACAAATGTATGGCTGAGAGAATGATTTCGTCAAAGAGAAAGATATTTCATCACTGCAATCATGTATGTTATCTGGAATACTTTATTATCTCGAAAAACTATATTGAAATATATTCCTTAGTTGTTGAGAGATATATGGTATCTCTGAAAGAAAATAGCTTGTCAGTAAAGTTCTAAATTACGTTATTTGAGTACATTCAGAACTTCTGGTGTTATTTTAAAATAAAATGTAATAAATTTATTTCAAGTTGTTATTCATCGTAGACTGACATCATTTGGAGGAACAAAGGAAACCTGGGGCACTGGACAGCTGTTTCGTCTCAGTATGGGACTCCTCAGCAGTGTGCACCCACGACCCCAACAGGGATCGAACCCCCGATCTTCAGGTTCCATGACCACCACGTTATCACTGAGCCACTGAGTCAGAACCCAATGGTCCATATATCCAACTTCTGTTAGCTGATGCACGATATAACGCAACCGCCATTGGATTCTGACTTAGTGGCTTAATGGTAACGTGGTGGCCACGGGACCTGAAGGTTGCCGGTTCGATCCCTGGTTAAGGGGAGGGGGTCGTCAGTGCGCACTGCTAAGGAGTCCCAGTGCTCCTAGGTTTCCTTTATTTCTCCAACTGATGTCAGTCTACAATGGATAACAACTTGAAATATTTCGAAATTCCCACAACTCCCTTAAAATAAATTTATTGTTTAAAACATTTTGTAAATGTTTTATTTTTATTCAAATAGACTTGTGATAAATTTTCTTTCCTCTTTTTTTTTGACTTTTATTTTCTATCACTTGGATAAATTGGATACTAGTATTAGATGTATCAAGTTTTGAACGACTTATGGGTCCATGTGTAGAAATTATGCAACGTGAACTTGGTCATTATCGTAATCAATTATTAGAAAGCTTGGGACCTGATGAAATAAGTAAAATTCCTTCATTGGCTAAATTTGTAGAATCTGAAAAATAATCCTTATTATTATTATTATTATTATTATGTGAATCATTTTAAAAAATACATGAGATGTGTTCATTTGGAACTATTATTATTATTAGTAGTATTGCTCATTGTTTCCATATGACTGAATGAATAAACAAGATGTTTGTTAACTTATTGTAAGTGTATGAATATTCAATATTTCTATTCTGTCTTTTACACTTTACAGAAGATATTTAAAATAAACATTAATTATAATGAAAATATTACTAAATATGAAGATGATATTTCACTGATGTATTTATTCATTGTGTGTATTTCATCCTTGAATTTATAGACTACAATTGTACACTTGATGATTATCTAATGTTTATTTATTCAGTTATCTCATGTTAATTTTTCACTTTATCATGTATATACCTTAACTGAATGTTTAATTGAACACTTGAATAAAAAGTAATCAGTAATATAAGATACATTAATATAATTGTTTTGCTTTTATTTTATAGACCAATAAAAATAGTGGAAATTTTATTCGTCCATGTGTTATTGTTTTATTTTTTTCAAGCAGTTCTTGTTTATCTTCATTGAAATAATGTTACTCCTATATATATATATATATATATATATATATATATATATATATATATATATATATATATATATATATATATATATATATATAGTTTATATGCTTGGTAAAATTTTATGAGAAAGTTTGTATGATTATCATTACTATTATTATTATTATTATTATCATTACAGCTAATACTGATTTCATTTCAGAATTCTATACTTTCATGTAACACACAATTTAGGTTGATATTTATTATGAACTGAGATCAATTGGAGAAAATTTAAAAACTTTGGAGCATTGGACAGAAGTGAGCATCTATGACCCCTTCATGGTTCAGACTCGTGACTTTTGATTTCGATACTAAGGATATTATCATTGAGCTATTTAGTCGGCTTTTATAGGTCCACATTTGCTATTGCTATCAGTTCATGGTGTAGCCAGACTTCGATTTAATACCGTCGTTGAATAACTGTTCTCATGTTCCATATGGTTGACCCCATCGATCATGACTTCTCATCAGAACTTCGGAAATGTTATCTCAAAGCAAGTCACTAATAAGCACTAGAGTAATTCAATTCTGAATTTTTTTATGGGGATTTATTTATTGGTAACGTGCTGACTAAAGGACTTGAAGGCCCTGGGTTTGATCCCTGACGGCGTCATCAGTACACACTGCTAAGGAGTTCCATAGTGCGACGACACCACTGTGCACTGCCATAAGGTTTTCAATGTTTCTCCAGCTGATGTCAGTCCTTCATGACTGTCAACCAGAAGTCAAGTCATCGGTACTGCGTTCCAGCCTAAGCTGGAACAACATCACTCACTAGAGTGTAGGTACATTCAGCTGACCAGTCCCAACTAGGATGACACATACTTCCTACACTCAACCGAGTTACTAAGATAATTACATCTTTTGATACATGTCAACAATAAATGCAACATAAGACAATTTTATGAAATATACTTGGCCCACGGTTAATTTTTTTCGACTGTTATTTTCTACTCTTTCCCCCTAACTCCCAGTGTTACTGGTTGTCCAATCAAAATGGACCACGAAATATCCCATGCGATTGGTTGCACGAAATCGAAAAGTACTATAAAATGAAGCAAACCGAGGAAGGTTTGCTTTATTTTATAATGAGCGACGATACCTTCCAAAATGTTATAACCGAAAACGAATAAATCTTCTTTGAGCGTTTCTGTCAATAGAGTCTTTGAAGAAAGCTTTAAAAGAGCATAAGAAGCAGATGTTGTGCAGTATTCACATCTCCAAGGTACCTGAAGAGCATACGTCATCTTTCTTTGCACTGAACAAGTCAAATAACACACAAAAACATTAAATTGTTCACTTTACATGAAGAAAATAATAAGACGTAATAGTGGTGAAGTTGTATGATTACACTTCAAGGTAGTAGGAAATTCGATAATGATGGGAGAACATTAAAGATGGTGGGCAGTGTATAATAAAGGTAAACTGAAAATCTTTCTGTATATAAGATTGTTTCCCGTTGATGGATTATTACTGCTTTTGCATACCATAGGAATCTACCTCCAATTTGTCTATTGATTATCTCGGAAGCAATGTAGGAGTTGACGGCGTGACCTGTTTCCAGGATGTTCTTGCCAATTTCGCAGACTGGTAGCCTTCCACTCCTCAGTCATTGGCTTTTCGGTATATGTCCAGTGATTCGTTTAGTAAGCAGCCTTCCTGTTCTTCCAACATACATGTACTACAAGTACTGGCAAATAAATAGATACTGACTGCTTCTAAAATTGCTTGATTTCACATTTTGTAAAAAGGATCATAATGTATAGTTGCCTATGATATAAAAGACGAGTATTTACAAATCCTTTTAGCTGTATATGGTAATATACAAATTCTCCTTATGAACAGTACCACTCAATTAGAAACAACTCATCTTCTTAACCACGAAGTATTATTATTTATTAGATTATTTGTCCCTTGAGTTCCTAGTGGAACATAAGAATTCAGTAGCACGCCTCCATTCCACTCCTCTCTGAAATCTTCTGAACCTGGCTCCAAGAATCCTCACAAGCTCTCATTTCCTCCTCACACCATCTCCTCTATCATCCCAACCTCGGACGCCCAACTCGTCGTTTCCATCTGGATTCCACTCGAGTGCCTGACCTGGTGCGTGATGTCCCCGATAGGTGTTTTCAGTGCATACCCGATCCATCTCAACCTCCTTCTGCATATTTCTTGGGTGATGGGTTCTTGGTTGATTCGTTCCCAACCAGAGTGAGTTCCTTGTTGCTTATTCTCATTATACTGGTCATCCCATCTGATCTTCAGTAACGAGCCAGTGTACACAGTTGTTGATGAATGTCTGTAGTTTGTTGGAAATGCTTTTCGTAACGTGCCAACTCTCTCAATCATATAGAGGCACTCACTGACTTGACGTTGATGTTGAAAATCCGGATGTTGTTCACGCTTTGTGTTGAGTGCAGTAGATGTCCACACTGATCATTTCAGATTAATGCAGGAAAGCCTGTCTTGCATTACCGATCATGGCGTTGACATCCTCGTCTGTGCCGCCCGTAGTTGAGAGGATGCTGGCTAGGTAGATGGGTAGGAGAAGGAGACTACTTCCTTTAGATTTCTTCCGTTCATGTGATTGGTGCTTCTTGTTGTTGTTGTTGGTGGTGGTGGTGGTGTTGGCTGGGTATCTCCATCACCTCTGTCTTCTCTACATCCATCCACTTGAAGAAAGTCCCATTTCCGCTGACCTGTCTCTTCTGTCAACTTGTTGGATTTCGCCTGTAGATCTTCGAGTTTGTGCGATATAAGACACAAGTCATTGGCGAAATCCAAATCTTCTAGGATCTTTTTCCCCCTCTTCTCGCTCATCACAGTTTGCTGCATGATCCAGTCCACCACAATGAGGAATATCAGGGGTGATAGTAGACAGCCTTGTGTTTACTTTTGTATGCAAACAAGTAACTAAGGTAAACGTATTCATGCTGTCGTAGATATTTGTCCTAAAAATTATTGTTATTTTCTTCGTTTTGTTTGTTTTCATAAGAATAAATGTAGATTTTTAAGATTAATTATATGTATTAGTTATAAACATTTTAATCCATTAGGCTTTAAATGTATTTTTCACCGATGTATTAATGCAAACAATTGTTCAAAGTATCGTCGGGTTAACCGTGGTGGATTTCTTTTAGTACTTCTATTACGATTGCTCAAATATCTTAAGTATTCGATAATATTCTAGAAAGACTGAACTCAAACGGATGAAGAATAGCAAAGATGTCATAATTGAGAATATATACTTTTTAAAGCCTCAATGAGATTAGATTTATCCACATGAATAGTGAATTTCTTCTTGAGATATGTAGGTGTTATTCCCCGACTACTAAGATATGTAATGTAGATTTGTATGTCTTGTAGTAGGCTGAGGTTAATGACAATCTTTTCATTTGTGCTCAACAAAACTACATTCAGAACACTGAAAGTAGGTCAGAAGACACTTAAGAAACCACAGAAACGCAACAATGTAAACAAGTGGATACAGAACCTATAAATTCGTGATATACTTTATTTAACAGAGAGTTTACACATTGTAATATTTCAGGTTCAAGCAAAGCGAAATAAAAAAAATATTTGTTCCCTTTTTGTACATATTTTTTATGAAAAGATGTTATCAAATACATCATCACATGGTAAGTATCTTTAAACAGAAAATTTATCACAGTTATTGAAAATCTTCGCATACATGATGTTACAAATAGTAGAATGAAGTGAAATATGAACGTGTCAGATCTTTAGAAGCATCTTTTAATACACAAACTTTAAAGTTTCTCATTAGTATCTCTTAGACACCATCTTATAGTTCTATCTCAAGAATTTGAGCAAGAAATATAGAGTTTCGCGTGACGAGTACCTAAACATCTTAAGAAGAACTAAATGATAGTAATCGCTGATGAAAACGATAGAAAGAACTATCTAATTCCATCGAGTACTAGACACTTTTTTATTTTTAGGTGGAAATGCTTCTTAACACTCCGTAGTCAAACTTCTAAGCTATAGGCAGTCATGGGTGTATATTGTCACAAGATTTGAACCTAGAACAAATCGGTTGTTCAATAATCTATTGTTTTAGGCAATTGCTGATATCAATCAGTTATGAAAATTCATTTTAAACAAACTTTTTCCTTACAACTTTTTAAATTTGGAAGCGAAATGATATTTGGCGCTGCTCTAATGTGTTCAAAATTGCTAATCAGTGAGCATACATGCATAGAGATGTGATTATCGATTTCTAATAAGTTGAATACTTTCGTATGGCTATTCGTCTACTTGACCTGTGACCTTGTTGGTGTTTATCACTCATCTTATTGATCAACGGATTCATTTTACCTGTATTGGTTGCTGAATGCCAAGCTTCTAGGAATTCTCTGATATTTTTGTGTTTCCTTTGCTCAAGATTTTGACTGTCAAAATTGATATCATGTCCATGGTTGTTATCCAAGTGTATTGAAATGAATGATGAAATATTGTGGCGTTTAATAGCCAATTGGTGTCCATGTAGACGAAGAAGGCGAAGAGGGTGACCACTTTCTCTGATGTAGTATTGATCATAATGATTGCAGTTGTTTTTATCAATGATTTTCTATCTGTCTTCTTTGGCTGATGTGTCCTTTAGTTGCATAATAAGGTTTGAAGGGAATTTTTTAGTTTATGAGCTAAACCGAATCAAAGTGTTTGGATTGTGATTAAATTAAATTAAAAATTGTTTCATATCATAAGAATAAACATCTATATGACTTATTGACGAATTATTATTATTTCCTTAGTTTGTACTTGCTGATGATTGAAGGTGAAATAAAAATTTAGACTTACAAAGGAATTGAAACATCGAATTCTGGGTTATCGAATTGATGCTCTACAAACTGAGCTACATGACCCAACTACTGGCCAGATCCT